TATCATCCCGGACAGTACCAAAATCTTCGTCAATCGCCCCATCAACAGCACTTTGCTGAATCGACCAGCCATCGCAATGGTGTCACAGCTGTACGTAGACTCGGGCCAGATGACGAGATGGATCGTCACCCAATTCGATATTTTGTTGACGTTCATCACTCTGGCTCCAGTCATATCTCCCGTGTGAAGAGGATCCGACATCCAGGAAAGGAGGAAATAGGTCCTCCTGTTCTATCAAGCTACACCTTTTCCAAAACCTTTGCCACTCCTGGGCCTGCTCCCGTGCAGCGATTGGAACCTCAAAGAGAACTACCAAACTATAACATTCGCGAGTATTCGTCTATGTATCATCACGGTAGTTCTCACGAGGATGACACCCCACATGTGCGCTTAATTGCACGGGTTTATCCAGATTCTATGCAGATGCGAGGGAGCGCTTCCCGGTCTTTGGATGGCTCTCTGTTCAGAGAGAACGGCTCTCTTTCTCGAGAGGACGTATCACCGCGAAGAGATGTTGCTATGGGTTCATTGGAACCATCTTCCAGCCAAAAACGCGTCCACGAAGATTCTCCAGCAACAGCCAAATTCCAAACCGCGACAACGAAGAAAATGAAAAAGGACGAGCAGAAGGATGATAGTGGGACTTCAAAGGACCCCAAGGAAGCCTTGGAAGGAAGAAGTCTTGTTGCGACGTCGTCGACTGTCACAACAACAACCCGCGTTACAAATGAAAAGCAGGGTAGTTGGCAAACAAAAGAAGTGAAGGAGGCTCACAGTTCTACATCGAAAGGTACTGGTGGATATTCCACCAAAGAATCAAAGTCAGTGAAGCATGACGCGCCCGCGGATACTTCAGGGCGTACTTACCTTTCCGGTAGATCGCGCCATGAAGGTGAGGAACAAACAGTGGAAAAAGAACGTGTGAAACCTGAAAGTTACGGTTTACCATCAACGTCATTTGGCGGCCCTCTGCAAACGACTACTCGTCGTTCTGATCTAGAACCTACACCATTACGGGAGTATGCTCGAGCTTACCATTCTGGGCAGTCATGGAACGACACTAAACCTATTCCAGCTGCTCGGAAAGGTGAGGGCGAACGTGCTAACATTAAGAGAACCGAACATATCTCTGAAACTGGTGAAGGCGATCGTGCTGGTGCCAAAAAAGATGATAGTCCCGTGAAAACAGCTGTAGTGAAGAAAAGATCTTCACCCATGTCAGATGAGGAAGAGGAACGAAAGATCCGTTTGATAGCGCGAGTCACGCCTCACGAAGAGGAGGAGGAGCAAGATTCGAAAAAGCCAAAAAAGGACAAAGATTCGTCTGGACTGTTCAGTTTTTGGAAAGGAGGAAAAAGAAAAAAGTATGAAGTTACTACTGAACGCTCTACGGATGAGAAGCTTGCAAGTCCGCAGAGCACCATCAGTCGGCAGAAAGACGTAGAAAAGCTTCCTCTCAAAGCACCCGCTCCTGTTCCGTACAAGCCGTCTAAGGATACAACAGATACATCGCGGCATGCTCATCTCTTTGGTAGGCAGCGTCATGAAGGGGAAGAGGAAACGGTCGAAAAAGACCGAGCACGACCTCAATCCTATGGGTTACCATCTACATCTGAGGGCCCCCTTGAACGAACCGCACCAGAATCTGAATTGAAACCAGCACCATTAAAGGAGTACGCTCAAGCATATCATCATGGAGAGTCGTGGAATGAGGGTAAGAAAACAACGTCTTCCTCAGTTCAACCAGTTGCAAGCGAACGAACTAAGAAGAAGGCCGTTCTTCATCTAAAGACATCCCCGAAAAAGGAGCATTCATCTGAACTGAATGAAGAGGATGAAGGGAAAGTCCGGTTGATAGCTCATGTTCCCTATAGCCCAGAAAAAGAAGAGTTAGATTTAAGCAAATTGCGTGAAACACAAGATCAATCCGGGTCGTTTAATCTCTCAAAGTCTCGAGAGGACGAGCAAGAGCACCGTGCAAAAAAACCATTTACTCCCGAGACAGAAACAACTCGCCGCACTTATCTCTTCGGTAGG